AAAAGAAATATATAAAATATATATAAATATATATATATATATATATATATATATATATATATATATATATATATATATAAACCTTTATAAATTAATACCAATCAGAACTAACAAAAATACTATTTAATTTAGTGAAATTTTAAATTATCAAACTGATATTTTAGTACGTTTTTACCGAGCTGGGATCGAAATAATTAAATTATTATTTAAATAAGGTTATTAAGTTCTACTGGACATGTTCTTTTTCCAGCAATAGCTTTCTACAATGTTATTCAAGTGCATGTTAATTAAATTAAATAAATTGTTACTCCATATATATTATCAATCAGAAAATAGCTAGTCTAAGTAACTTAAAATTGTTATTTCTATTAATCCAAATTGATCCCCCTTTTTTAGCATATATATACATCATAATTAATTAATACATGCCACCTATCTTAAAAGCCAGCTTTTGTCACATAATATTCCCAATTAGTATCTAAATAGAAATATATATTAAAGCATGATGCTATTTAGATTAAGAATCCATAGAAAGTGCTAAATAATTCATACTTGGACCTTGACTATATTATTCTTACCAAAATGCCAAATTAAAGACAGCATTTATGCTGTTTTCTGCATTTGATGGAAGGGAAGGTTACACGTCAGAATAGATGTACAAAATAATAATATTTTTTAAATATATATAATTAGATTTAATAATATTAATTAATTGATAATATTTATTTTATACATAGTGGTTTGCTTTCTCCCATCTATATAAACTCAAAGAAACACAGCTGAAAAGAGTGTGCAGCAGTTAGCTTTCTCCCATATATCAAAATAAATACCCTCTTCTGTACATATATAATTATTATTCTTCCTCTTTTCTGAGGGATATATTCAGAGGGCTACTTAATAACAATTCAGGTACACATTTTACTCGAATTAATTAACCACCCGTCGATATAATTTCGCGTCTCTCATTCTTATACCCCATCCTCGAAGAAGAGTATATTCGAGTAATGCGATGTAT